GGGGAAAGCTTTTTTAGCCTAGTGGCTGGCCACTCCCCAAAGCAACGAGGAAGGTTGTTTCCTCTCATCCTAGTCCCAGCCCTTCAATTCAACCAAAATGGCATGCTGTTGCCATCAGGGAAGGCCTTAAGATGTGGTAGGGTAGGAGCGAGGAGCACTGGCAGAGCTGTGGGGGGAGCTCAGGGCTGGAATAGCAGGAACTTTAAGGGCTTTATTACATGTATAAGTGCCACAGTGCTGGGTGCTTTGAAAAACGCCCAGCGCTGTGATGCATACAGTTGTATAGGTGGTGAAATGTGCATCAGAGTGCAGAAAATGGCAGTGGTGTGCTTTTGAACTAAAACACCTCGGAGGTGCTTTACTTCAAAAGCTCACCTCCGCCATTTTCTGTGTGCTCATGTGCATCTCACAACTTTTACAACTGCACACAGTGCAGCAAAGTGCGCATCAGCTCACGTGCAGAGCAGACCCGATTAATCAAGTCAGCTCCGAAGTGGTGGATCTCTGGCGCACTGTGGGACAAAAAAAGTACATGTATAAATGCCCTAGAGGTCCAGGCTGGGGTTCATTTCTTGAACTGTGTGGAAACAGCTGCACTTTCTCTGCCTCATCATTCAGTGTGTCCAGCTCAAGCCAGCCCCGTCCTCATAGAAATTAAAATTCACCCCGAAGTCTTTTAAGCTCCTCAGGAATGTTTGCTTTTAAATACCACAAATAATCAGGGGCAAGAGCTCAGCTTCTCTGCTGAGGAAAGAGATGGCTTTGTCACAGGGATATTCCCCCTGCCTGTGTCTGGAATCAGGGGCGAGGGAAAGGGGGAGGAAGCAGCAAGATGTTCCCTCCTGCACAGGGGAGCTTGCTTGCCACTGCACTTCAGGCCGAGATTTTCATTAGGCCTGCAGTGGGAGGCAGCTCCTTATTGTGCCGATGTCAGCTCAGTGAGCACGTGGCCAGCTTTGGGTAACACAGCAAAGTGTGTGGCACAGGGAGGCGCTTTGAGGAGGGGGCTGGGGCTAGCAGGCTTGTGGGAGAAGGGATTATGATGCACAGCTCTGCAGATCGCCACATTGTTTGGGGTGACAGCAGGAGCCCGCGGGTGTGCACGAGGCAGTGGGTAATAGGAGGCCCCCCACGAAAGGCACCAGTGTTACAAAGGCTCAGATCCTCTTGGGGGGGCGGGGATGCTGGTTCCTCAGGTCTCCCTGGGGGGTTGGCCATTGCCATGGCAAATTTGCTTTCAGTGGTAAGTCCTGTCAGGCATCATTAATCTCTTGCTGTCAACAGCTTCTTATTTAAACCCACCCCCCACCTGCCCCTCCTGCCCTGAGGCTGGGCACTTTGAAGTCTTTATCAGGCACGATGGGAAGGCAGAGGCATGCTGAGCCTGGCAGGAGCGCTGGTAGGGCTCACAACCTGCTGGTTACCAAGGGGTGGGAAGAGGGGAAGAAAGGTTTGTGCATTCCAGACTGAATGGATAAGGCTGCTGATCTCGGGGGCCTTGGATCTGAGTCTTACACCACAGCAAGGGCTGCATCCCTGAAGCTGGGGACCTGCAGAAGTTCCCACATGCCTCCCACCTAAGCTCAATGGTGCTGGGATACACTGCAAGCAAGGGCCAGCAGTACCCCCATTGTATTCTCTTTCCTGCTTTTCACAAAGAGTCACCTCCCCCACCCCCAGGTTTAGCTACTCCCTGCTTCCCCTTGCCCTGCCCTACTGGGTTTCTTGCCTTTGAATTTTCAAAAACTTTCACCCTCTCCCTTTTTATCCTTTCCCTCAGCAGCTCCCAGTTCCTAGGGATCCATCTCTTCCTTCCTCTTCCCCACCCCTCCCCTGCCCAGGTCTGCCCTCTCCTCCTTTTTATCCATAAGGCATGTCTGCCAGCCCGCACCACCAGCACTCCATGAAGCGGAGCCACATTGGGCTTTGTGCTGCTTCTTGGCTGCTCCCAACGGCCTGGGATGCGACCTTGCTCACCCCTCGTGCTACCATATTTACTGCATACACACCCCCTTCCTTCAAATATTATGTATTGGGGTGCATGTCTTAAACAAGGACAACTGGGGAACATGCGGGAGTCGAGCTGCTCAGTCCCTCTTCTCAAGCCAGGTGGGCAGCCAGCAGTGCCTGTGACCTCCTACAGCCACTCTCCCTCTATTGCTGCTGCCTGTGTTTCCCCTATGAAAACATGTATTGACATTTTCAAGGAAAGACCTTTTTTTCCCTTCATCCCACCTTCCAAAAAAAAGCACACGTCTTATTTGAGGGCAGGTGGTACATGAGAAAATATAATATATTTCTAGGATCACCTGAGACTCCCTGGTGCCTCACTCATTGAAGTCACTAAGAAGGTGGAATGTGACCACAGCGCTACCTCCAGCCCAGGCACAGGCTCCTGCCTCTGGGGAAGGCCTCCTCACCTTGAAGTATTTGTCCAGGACTTCACTGTAGTTGCTGCCCTTAGAGAACCAGCCATCAGGGATGATCTCTGCCTCCAGCCACTGGATAACTCGACGTCGAAGCTCATCCCGGTCGGATTGGTAGCAGACAACTGTGAAAGGGTGGAAGAGAAGTAGAGAGAGAGAGAGAGAGAAAAAGAGAGAAACATTTGAAGAGCAAGGCCCTGCTGAGTTTCCAGACCTCTCTTGCCGGTGCCACAGAAGGCGCTTGTACTGCGAAGGAGGAGTTATTTCAGTCCTGAATCAGCCATGGACAGGCCAAGAGTGACACTCTGTGGAGACGCAGGGGAACGACAATGTCTCCATCCTGCCCACTGCTTTGGCAGGTTCCTGCCACACTTGTTCACGATGCCCATGGAAGGGGGTAAAGTTTGATTTGGAGCAAACACTTTCTCTGGCCAAATACACTTAATTCCCATTGGCTAGAAGAACATCCAAGCTAAGCGGGTCCAAGGTGTCTGCACAATACAGCAATAGCTTCCCTCATGCACCCTTTGCCTGTGCCCCTTGGCCCAAAACCTGAGAGTCCCATCTCTCTGGAGGAGAGGGGATTTCAGTGTCCAGGGTCAGCCCCATGCCTGGCCTTTCCACTGTCAAACAGGGGGACAGTTTATGATGACCAGGAACTGATTGTCCCAACTACCTGCCACAGACAAGCCCACAACTTTCTTCCAATGGTCGCTGTATTGTTCACTGAAACAAAAACTCAAGGCCACATTTTAAGCTTTTCTAAATTACCAGGTCTTCACTGAGGTCAGTGGAGCTAACAATTTGCAGCAGCCGGGGCTCCAAGCCAGACAGATGGACAGCATGGGAGGATTCTGTGAGGCCAGGTCGAAACTACTTTTTGACTGTTGGGAGGTGACAGCATAGGTGCTGAGTATGTGGGGGCCCAAGGGCCCTGGCCCCCCTTGGGAAGAGGGTAGGGTAACCATCCCTCCCTAATTGGGTGGTACAGTCCTAAAATGGGAACATCAGGTCCTGGTCCTGGGTTGCATGACTCTGGGGCAGCATTTGTCCTGGATTCTCAGTATTGTGCATGGATCCAGGTTTTTCATTCACCACAGAAAAATGTGGGAAATGGCGGGTTCCAGATTGCAAGGGGCTGTGGGGAGTGGGATTCAGGGGGTGCCACAGGCATGTGCGCGCACACACGCGCACACACACACACACACACACACACGCGCGCGCGCACACACACACACGGCCAGGAATACAGCCCCAGGCAGCAGTGGAGAACAGCTCCTCCAGCTGCCTGCAGGTAAGTCTATGGGGGAGGTACAGATCAAGGCCCCCATGGTAAGGGAAGGAGTGGGGCAGGGTCTGGGTCTGCTGCCTACCCACAGTGGTGCATGAGGCCTGGGGCCAGAGCAGAGAATGGGACAGAGCCACAGGTGGCTCATCCGGGGGGCGGTGGGAGGGCGGTGGGGTGGGCAGCAGCTCCCTGCTGCTGCACACACTCCTGGGGAGGAGGGCATGGTGGGGGCACATGCCCCCAGATTTGTGTGCGGGGTGGAGACAGATGCGGGCTGGCCACTGCAGGCTCAGAGCTCCCCGCTCTGCTGCCCTCCTCCCAGGAGTCCTGCGCTGGCCACACCACCAGCAAGGCACCCCCTGCCTGCCTTGCAGCAGTGGGGGGTGGGGGACGGACAACTTGTGTCCCCACTGCTGCTTGGTGGGCAGGGGGTGGCTTGCCATGGCGGCGGGGAGCTCCCAGGGCAGCGAAGCAAGGCGAGGAGCCACGAGCTCACAGCAGGCAGCCTGCATCTGCCCCTGCCCCTCGCACGGGCTCCGCTCCAGTTGTGCTGCTGGGGATGGGGTGGGGGAGTATCATCTTAGCCCTGTCCCCACCAGGCAAAAATAAAAATCCGTGCCTCCAGGTGACAGCATGCTCCAAAGAGGCCCTTTGCCTTAATTATGCATTGAGGTTTTGACCTGTTCAATAAGATTATCAAACATCAAAAAAGGCAAAAATATAGTAGGCACGGAATGAGAATCTTCATTCAGATGGGGAAGGGGACCCTGAGGTACAGGGAGATGATAGTCAGAACCCTATTTCCCTTAGTGGACAACCAAAGTACAGCCTGAGACTAATTCTGAGTTACCTGACTAAAGCATAGGAGTGATTTCATTGCCCAGATTCCATTACTCTGGGAGCTGCAGCAATTAACGCTGCCACCACTCCCTCGACACAACATTTTTAGACCTGAGGGGAGCCCCAGGTACCACCTATGCTGGAGAAAGAGAGCAGGATACAAAATAGTGAAGACCAGTTGTTTTCAACTTTTTTTCATTTGCAAACCCCTGAAAAATTTCTAATGCAGGTGCAGGCCCCTTTGAAATGTAAGTGTGAGTATTGACATACTTTTGGTTGATCACAGTCATCTTTCACAGACCCCTTAGACATAGTTTGAGGAGCCCCAGGGGTCCATGGAGCACAGATTTTAAACCACTGGTATAGACTGGAGTAGGCCTTAAGCTGTTTTAATGATAGGTTAGTACAGAGTTACTTGTATCTGCTGGAACTACAGTTTGGTTCAAAGGAGAACGGGCAAAGGAAATGCTCAGGTGAGAAAAGGATGCAAAGTGTGAACCATTTTACAAAGTTTGAGCAGAACAGATGGACTGAAACTAGGGTAAAAGTTGCAAGGTCATCTCAAGTACACTTAGTGGTTTGATGACAGACTAGGCTGAGTTTAGATAATGCTTATATATGGAATAATAAACAGACATATGACTATTAGAGTAGCACCTACTAGAAACACACACACACACACACACTATATATATATATATATATATAAAAACCTTATTTAGTAATTTTTTTACATTTTAGCAACGGTATGGAGAATAAAAACCAGGTTCACTGTGGAGTTTTGTTCTTAAGTCTTGAACTGAAGCTTACAAGGCCAGGCGACATTCTGTTTTTTTCAGTCAATTGGAACTGCAGCTATCAAAGGTCATGAAGGGTAACAAGAAGGGTTTCTACAAGTATGCCAGTAAAAAGAGGAAGATCAGGGAACGTGTGGGTCCCTTATTGAATGGGGGAGGTACAGATGATGTAGAAAAGGCTGAAGTACTCAATGCCTTTTTCACCTCAGTATTCACAGGCAAGGTCAGCTCCCAGAGTACTGCACCTGGCAGCACAGTTTGGGGAGCAGGTGAGCAGCTGACAGTGGTGAAAGAACAGGTTGGGGACTATTTAGAAAAGCCAGACACATACAAGTCCATGGGGCTGGACACAATGTACCTGAGGGTGCTGAGGGAGTTGCCCAGTGTGACTGCAGAGCTGCTGGCCATTATTTTTTAAAACTTGTGGTAGTCAGGAGGTGTCCCAGACAATTGGAAAAGGGCAAATATAATGCCCATCTTTAAGAAAGGGAAGAAGGAGGATCCAGGGAACTGGTCAGCCTCATCTCAATCCCTGGAAAAATCATGGAGCACGTGCTCAAGGAATCAATTTCTAAGCACCTGGAGGAGAAGAAGGTGATTACCAACAGTCAGCATGGATTCACCAAGGGCAAGTCATGCCTGACCAACCCGATTGCCTTCTATGAGATGACTGGCTCTGTGGATGCGGGGAGAGCAGTGGACTTATAGTTTCATAGTTGGTAGGGTCAGAAGGGACCTGAGCAGATCATCAAGTCTGACACCCATGCCATGGCAGGAAAAAGTACTGGGGTCAAATGACCCCAGCAAGGTGTTTATCTAACCTCCTCTTAAAGACCCCCAGGGTAGGAGCCAGCACCACTTCGCTTGGAAGTTGGTTCCAGATCCTAGCCACCCTGACAGTGAAGTAGCGCCTTCTGATGTCTAGTCTGAATCTACCCTCTGCCAGCTTGTGACCGTTATTTCTAGTCACTCCTGGTAGTGCTCAGGGGAACAGGGACTCCCCCAATGCCTGCTGGTCCCCTCTGACTAGTTTGTAACATGCCACTAGATCTCCGCTCAGCCTTCTCTTGTGGAGGCTGAACAGGTTCAGGTCCCTTAGCCTCTCCTTGTAGGGCCTGTCCTGCTGCCCCCTGATCATGCGGGTGGCCCTCCTCTGAACCCTCTCAATGCTGTCCACATCCCTCCTGAAGTGTGGTGCCCAGAACTGGATGCAGTACTCCAACTGCTGCCTGACCAGTGCCGCATAGAGGGGAAGGATCATCTCCTTGGACCTGCTTGAGATGCAACTGTGGATGCATGACAAAGTGTGGTTGGCCTTCCTGACTGCATCCCCAGTGTCGGCCCATGTCCATTTTGGCATCAATAATGACTCCAAGATCCTTTTCTGCCTCTGCACTGACGAGAAGGGAGTTCCCCAGCCTGTAGGTATGCTGCTGGTTCTTCCTCCCCAGGTGCAGCACCTTGGACTTGTCAGTGTTGAAACCCATCCTGTTCTCATCTGCCCACCCCTGTAACCTGTCTAGGTCCAATTGTAGCCTATTCCTCCCTTCTAGCGTGCTCACATCCCCCCCCACACTTGATATATCTTGACTTTAGCAAGGCTTTTGATATTCTCCAACAACATTCTTGCAATCAAGCTAAGGAGGTATGGGTTGGATGAATGGATTATAAGGTGGATAGCAAACTGGCTGGATCATTAGGCTCAACAGGTAGTAATAAATGGTTCAATCGCTAGTGGGCAACCAGTATCAAGTAGAGTGCCCCAGGGCTCAGTCCTGGGGACAGTTTTGTTCAATATCTTCATCAACAACCTGAAAGATGGGATGAAGTGCACCCTTGGCAAGTTTGCAGATAACACCAAGTTGGCAGGAAGTAGTAGATATACTGGAGAGTAGGGCTAGGATTCAGAGAGACCTCAAGAAATTGAATGATTGGACTGAAAGAAATCTCATGAGGTTCAGTAAGGACAAGTGCAAAGTTCTGCATCTAGGACAGAATAATCCCATGCACTGGGACAGGCTGGGGACTGACTTGCCAAGCAACAGCTCTGTAGAAAAGGACCTGGTGGTTGCAACAGACAATAAGTTAACAGTGTGCCCTTGTTGCTAAGAAAGCTAATGCTGGGCTGCATTAGTAGGAACATTTACAGCAAACTAAGGGAAGTGATTATTTCCCTCTATATGGCACTGGTGAGGCCACATATGGAGTACTGTGTCCAGTTTTGGGCCCCCCATTACAGAAAGGATGTAGACATTCGTTATACGGGGGGAGACTGAGGGAACTGGGTTTATTTAATCTGCAGAAGAGAAGATTGAGGGAGGATTTGATAGCGGCCTTCAACTACCTGAAGCGGGGTTCCAAAGAGGATGGAGCTAGACTGTTCTCAGTGGTGGCAGATGACAAAACAAAGAGCAATGATCTCAAGTTGCAGCAAAGGAAGTTTAGGTTCAATATTAGGCAAAGCTCTCATTAGGAGGGTAGTAAAGCATTGGAACAAGTTACCCAGAGAAGTTGTGGACTCTCCATCCTTGGAGGCTTTTAAGACTTGGCTAGACAAAGCCTTGGGTGGGATGATCTAGTTGGGGCTGGTCCTGATTTGAGCAGGGGGCTGGACTAGATGACCTCCTGAGGTCTCTTCTAGCCCTCATTTTCTGTGATTCTTTCTGAATTGTCCAACTGCAAGTGTATCTGGGTAGTGCTATATAAAGACTTTGTTTTGAAAGAAGGTCCTTTCCCTAACAGGATGGCCACCTGTTAAAGGCTTTTTAAGACTTGAGGACTTAGAAATTTTAAGGTGACTTTGCTTTCAAACATTGATTATATGCATTTTATAAATTGTAATCATTTGCTTGCCATGCCTTATCTGCACTGCTTAATTAGTTACATCTTTTCTGCTTTTTGTTAGTGAATTTGCTATTAAAAATTGAAATATCCTTATGTTGTGAGTATTTAATTTGGTGGGACTGGCTCTTCAAACCGTTCTTGGTTCTCAGGATCCATCTGAAGGTCAACAATAGTCACCATCACAGTGGCAGCTGACTGTGCCATTGCCATTAGCACAGCAGCAGCCAGTGCTGCCCCAGGCATGCAGCTACCTTTGCTATGCCCTCCAGGGAGACCTGTAGGCCAGATGATGTCGCCCAGTGCACTGGAGCAGGTTAGTGCACAGGATTGGTCTATGACCTGATTTGGTGCACGCTGTCAGTCCATGGGCATAATCTGGGAACAGACTAACACCACAAGATGACCTAATCCATCTTGAGGACAGACCCCACACCACTCATCCAGCCTACTGGACTGGATGGGTTTGGCACCACTGCTATTACCCATTATGGACATGTAAGCGTCCCCATTATAGGAACAGAGCTAGTGTAGCAGGGGCTTGGGCACAGGACACCTATCAGGTAACACAGCATCTAGAAAAGCCCCTCCCAGACTGCCTACCTGGACTGCAAACCAGGAAGACAGATGGGACAGGCAAGGAATAGGGAACAGCTGGGGGAACATTGTACACAACAACCACGAGCCAGTCACAGAGGCACAGGCAGAGATCCCGGACTGGTTGGTAAGGCTGCATGGATCACATTTGAAGCTGCTGGAGGCGGCACATTGGGGTGAAGCACCAGGAAAGCTCCAGAGGAGTGGAGCCACACTCCCTCACTCCAGAGGAGTGGAAGTCTCCTCCCTCACTGGACAGGAGATGCAGTGGATGGCAGGTAGCAAGCAGTTTGGCCTGAGGGACTCCCAGTAACTTGGCTGACCCCAGGTGGGCAGGTGGGTAGCACCTAGGGAACTGGGAGGGGAGTAGCCAGAACCAAGGAATGAGGCTCAGGAAGAAGCAGGAGGTGGGAAAGGCCTGCAGCAGCTGGAGCCCTCAGGCTTCCAGAAGGGCTATTGCACTGTTTGGAATGACTCACCAAAGCAGCCCTGGTTTTGTTTATTTGTTTGGACTTGTGACCCTTAAAAAGTAAGGCTTTGGAACAGGGTCCAGTGTTCCTTAAAGAGGCAATGCTAGAGGCAAAGGAGAAAGGAAAACCAGAGAGGGTACACTATGAGGCTTGAAAGAAAAGCTGTCAACATCTGCTACAGAACACCTCATCTGGAGGCGTGTGGGCAGGGTGATGAGAAAGGAGGGCGGGGCTGTCAGTTAATACTTCTGCCACTGGAGGGTCCTAACCTTTGCCCCAACTACAACTAACCTCCAGAGACACCCAGGCATCTTATTCTTTTCCTACAATGAGGGTGCTTACTTGTCCAGAAAGGGTAGCACAGTTGTTCCTGCTCTTCAGTTGGGGTAATTCAAGTGTAAGACTCAAGCTGCACTTAGACTGCCCACTAGGGTGAGGTAGGCATTCTGCTAGCAATGGCCTGCTGAGAGGTGATAGCCCTGAGATCAAGCCCAGGGACTCCACTTTCCTAGACAAGTGCCCTGTTTCCTTACCAGTGCTGCTTCGCTTTCCCTAGCCATTCTTGAAGCGAGATCTGGCTTTGAAAAGCACTCCCATAGAACAGCATATGGGGCTCTGTTTTCATTCCATCTCTGAACCACTGAACTCAAGTAAAGGGAGGGCTTTCCCATAGTCAAAATGGGCTCTTTCCACCTTGTGCCTCTTTCTTAGTACTTCTAAGCTGCAACGGCCCACTGGAGCATTCAGTGCAGAGCCCCTCACTCTCAGCATCCTGCAATGAGGACTTTGCTAACAATTCAGCTGGCAGTGCATAAACCTGAATAGAATGCAACTCCCTATGCCAGGGCTATGCGTGGGAGGGCCCATGTTGGGGGGAGGGGGAAGATAACAGGGAGCTCATCAGTAGCTTCAGCAGCTCAGGTTCTGCTACAGCCAGGGAGCCCATCTGTGGGGCAAAAGGCAGTTTTCTAACCTGTCTACCATCTAATAATAAATTAATAATGATAGTTATATAATTTATATAAGGTTCTCCATCATCAAATCATTTTGAATCAAATGGCTTTATCACAAATTAAGATAATATTCCTCATTTGATAGAGAGGCTGAGGCAGGAGAAAGTGAAGAGTATTGGCCAAGGAGAAACAGAAAAGCTCCTGGCTTCCAGTCCTGTGTGCAGACCTCCAGAGCACACCTTTCCCTATCTCCCTGTCAGGCAAGAGCTGGTTCTGGACCACACCAGTCTGCAGGTGACCCTGCAACCACATTAGGGGTCATTCTACCCTGGAGCCTTGCAGTTCCTCATCAAACGATCCACCTGCTTCCCTACAAATAAGCAGGTTGAGGGCTATGTCCAGATGTCAGGCATAGTGGGGGTTGGGGTTTTCTTACCTGGGCTTGCAGCTGGATTCTCGGCCTTCTTCTCTATTAATAAAGAGAGAGGATAGGACATTACTGAGGCAGGAAACACAATCACTGGCTCATTTAGGCCATGGTTCTAAGCAAAGAGTAACTCAAGACCCCTCTCACCCCAGGAGCAAACAGCTGATGTCAGAACATGGCTCTCTACTCCATACGTGCAGGTTTCCCATAGCCTAAGGGCACCCAAAATGTTTGTCACAGAGGGCCAGATGGACAACTGCCCAGGAACCAAAGCATTCCCCCTCTCTCTTGGGCGAAAGCTTGGAGTGAGTCCTTGTTCCTGAAGCCAGAGTAGGCTCTGCTTATGCAAGCAGAAAGGATGGACTTCAGGAGTTGGCCCATCTTCTACATCACTCCCTAGACCTGGAAGATGCTTGATGAGTAAATCTGTGACTGGAAATGATAGGCAATTGGGAGCCATTTAACCCCTCATTCTCATCCATGAACTCTGTCAGGGATCAAAAGGCATCTGCCTTCAAGAACAGATTCCCCTCTACCCCCTCCCTGGGTGGTCTTGTTTGATGTGGGCACAAAGCCCTTAGAGCTGGCTTTACCTTTACAATGGCCATCATAGTCCACCTGGATCTTGGAGCCAGTGAGGCAGGCGTCACGGTGTAACTCACAGTGGTTCAGGTAAGTCTTGCCATTGCTGCCACACACAGGCCGCTTGTGAGCTTTGCATTGCTGCAAAAGAGCCCCCAGAGGGAAAGCCTTGAATCCCAGGACAGCCAGAGGCTTCAGAGTCACCTCATCTTTGGTGCATTCTACATAGCTCCCTCCACAGGACTAGGGTTTGAGAGACAGGACCACAGACTCATAGAAAATGAGGGCTGGAAGGAACCTCAGGAGGTCATCTAGGCCAACCCCCTGTTCAAAGCAGGGCCATCCCCAACTACATCATCCCAGCCAGGGTTTTGTCTAGCTAGATCTTAAAAACCTCCAAGGATAGAGATTCCACAGCCTTTACTATCCTCCTAGTGAGAAAGTTCTTCCTAATTTCTGGGCTAAACTTCCCTTGCTGCAATTTTAGACCACTGCTCCTTGTTCTGTCATCTGCCACTACTGAGGACAGTCTAGCTCCATCCTCTTTATAGCCACTCTTCAAGGTAGTTGAAGGCTGCTATTAAGATGCCGACTACAGGGACCTTGAGGAGCTCATGTAGGACCAGAGATGTCTACGCCAAGGGGATCATAGACATCTGATGACCCCAAGCTTCACAGAGCTTAAAAGCAAATCAATGATGTAGAGGCACCCCATGGAAAATGCTAGCTCTTAGTTTTCACTCATTTTTTGACTACAGAAAAATACTAGAGCAGTTCTTCTGTTTGAAAGGAAGAGAAAGACCAAAACAGATCAGAATACTGTGGATTCTTATTTGAAATCCTTGGATTTATCTCATGAATCATGTTTGCTCACTTAACACTGCTAACCCTGTGTGGCACCCTACACCACCCTTGAAAGGATCTCAAGGCAACACAGGGTGCCATGACACACTGGCTGAGAATCACTGGTCTATACAGTCAACTTCCAGCCCTGACAGTGGTGCCCCTAGGTGCTCTACGCAGCTCTGGGCTGGCTCCTTCTTAAGCAGAAGCTGTGTCACTGCCTTCATATGACATCTGGGAGTGAACTAATTGGCACGCTCACTTAACATAGCTAATTAGCCCACCCCATGCTAATTAGTTTGCCCATGCATCTATGGCCCCACTGCTTTTGGTTTATCTTGCCCACAGTGCCAGCACAGTTGCTACTTTACTGAATAGTCATAGCTCAAGTGTTCCCAAGGCTGGAAAAAGCTCATCTCTTCATCCAAGCATCCTTGCACTACACACAGCACTCTGCACTGCTTTTCTAACATGTGTACGTGGGCCATCCTTACAGCAGGCTGGCTCAGAGAACAGGCACTACAGGGATTCCTGTGCCAGGCGAACTGCATGTTCGCATGCTGCTGTATCCTTCCCCACATGAGGCGTCCTCTCGCAGGGTCTCCCCTACCTGGAAAGTCTGAGACACAGGGCAGGGCTCCACACTAAAGGGTTACAAACATCCAGGTCACACAGATGAGAGGGATTTTTATTTGCCTTCCCTCAGAAGCACTGGGTGGTGACTGCAGTTGAGGCTAGGGATTTTAATTGGGGTGTTCTGATGCTCCTGCTAGGACTTAAAACTAGAGGTTCCTGGTTACAGGATCCTGCCCTTCTGCTCAGGGTCAAACTGATCACCACATTTGGGTCAGTCCATGGGCTCCACCCCATATGGAATCAGCACATGGGGTTTGTCCATGGTGTCATGACCCAATGATTGTGTGTGCGCTTTGGCACTGCAGAATTATTTCCCGCCACATGGAGCTTTCTTTGCACGGTGCAATTCTCAGCTGCAGAGAGAAAAACCCCGGTGCAAAGGAGTTCCCGTCACCCATATGTAAATTTGTTCCCCATTATTGGCTGTTTCTAAATTATTCCCATGTGGTGGCTAGCGATTGGCTTGCTAGCCGTATAAGAGGCTTGAGCAGTTTCCGCCCAAGTCGGAGATCTCCGAGAATCTCAGGAGGATCCTGAGAACCCCAATTCCGAGAATTCCGGGAGAAATCCGAGAGAATTCCGGCAAGGAGTCCACGATTATCTCGTGGATTTCTACGTATATCTCGGACCGAATGATGGTTTGATCAGCCATCAAGAATCTCTCCCCGTCACCGGACGATCCCTGACGTACCCCTGCCCTGCGCGCTCGTTGAGAGTCACAGCACGGACTCTTGTATCGGTTTAGAGAACTCTCATCGTTCGAGTTTTCTTCTTTTCTTCTATCTGTCATGACCCAAAAGGCAGGATTGTGTGTGTGCGCTTCGGCATCAGAATTATCCACGTTAAGTTGCAGAGCATTGCACGGGAGTTTCCTGTAGCAAGAGGAAACTCCGGTGCAGGGACCAGTTTCCCGCCTTTTCTGCA